GAGGAGAGGAGAGGAGAGGAGAGGAGAGGAGAGGAGAGGAGAGGAGAGGAGAGGAGAGGAGAGGAGAGGAGTTGGGCTGGCAAGAAGCTCAGCAGGTAAAAGTACTTCCAGAGCATGCCTGATGATTGTGATTTCTATCCTAGGAACCCTTGGTGGAAGGGAAGAACCAACTCCTAAGAGCTAAGTTTTAACTGCATTGGTACACCCATGTGCACACAATAAAAATAATTATTGCGTCGGGCAGTGGTGGTGCATGTCTTTAATTCTAGCACTCAGCAGGTAAAGGCAAGTAGATCTCTCTAAGTTCAAGGCCAGCCTGGTCTACAGAGTGAGTTCCAGGACAGTTAGGTCTACACAGAGAAAGTCTGTATCAAAAAAAAAAAAAAGAAAGAAAGAAAAGAAACAAACAAAACTACTAATACTAAATTAAGCAAATATATAACCACAGAAGTTGTAGCTCAGTGTAGAGCACTTGACCATCATACATGAGGTCCTGGGTTCAATACCTGATACTGGAGGGAAAATATATACATATATAGAGCCAAGTTATATTAAATGCAGTAAGATTTGAAGATAATTTACACGATAAAATACAAAAGTATAAAGTTGGTGCTAACTTCAGCAGCACATATACTAAAATTGGAAAGATGCAGAGAGTAGTCAGGAAGGATGTGAAACAATCCCGTTAAAAATAAATAAATAAGGAGTTGGTTTCAATTAACATGCTTCCTTTGAATTACTATTGCTACTGGAGCAGAGCAGTGAGTGAAGAGCAGTACTCCGGCTTGCTAGCAATGTTTCCCACAGCAAGGACAAACCGGCCTTCATCTGTTTGCTATCCTGAAATTGTGGAGCACAGGCACAAGCCTCTGGAGCAGCAGATGACCTGGGCCCAATTATGTGGCTATCAAAATGGGTATCAAAATGGGTAGTTGGAGCTCTGAGTTCCAAGACAGCCCTGGCTGTTACACAGAGAAACCCTGTCTCAAAAAACAAAACAAATCTACCCCACGTACATCTAGGCAGCACTAATTAGACTTCATGGGTTATAAAACAAACAACAACAATAAAAAAAAAAAAAAACTGGCATGGTGACATCATAAGATTTTAACCCCAGCACTTTAGAAACAGAGGCAGGCAGATCACTGAGTTCCAAACCAGCTGGAGTAACATAGCGAGACTTTTTCCCCAAACCCCCTCCACAAAAAGTCATGAAATTGGGGGATGAATTTGTTAGGGGAGATCTGGGGAGCAGTGGAAGGGAGAAATAGGGGGATTTATGAAATTCTCAAAAATAAACTTATTTTTAAAAAAATTAAAATAAGAATATCTCTATGGTTCTATGGTGATCAAATAAGAAAACAGAGATGAAAAATTATCCTAACTCCCCACTCCCCTCTCTGATTCTGGTCCATATATTACCTTTTTTTTTTTAACTAAAAAAGACAAGTACTACTCAAAGTTTGCCCACATGACATTTCTTACCCTAAATAACAGGGGCTAGGGAGATGGCAGGCAAAATACATGACTACCAACCTACGTTCAATCCCCGGAACTCTTGTAAAGAGGAAAAGAGAGGATCCAGTCCACACAGGTGTTCCACATTACCATGACACATCCCTCCCTCCACAACAGCAGCTAATGTTTAGAGGCAAAATCCAATTCATCATCCCAGGTTGGTCTCAAACTTGTGTTCCTGCCTCAGCTTCCTAAGTTTTGGGATATTAGGTGTGTATCATCATATCTACCTACTTAAAGGTTTTAGTGAGGAACATTCTGTATAAAAGTCAATGGAATTAGTTCAGAAATATTTGTGTTGTGTGTTAAAGGAGACTAGAGCTCTTCAACAATCTGTGGTTTACACAATCAATACCACTCACATTATTTTCTGGATCTGACAGTATGGCAGATGCCAAGGCTGCAATCTGTATTTTCTTCTCCTGTAGTTTCTTCTTTCTCTCAATTAAATGTTCTTCTATGGTGAGCTCTGGAACAGGGTTTTCAATGACCTCTGAAAGAAATTAGGTTTTCCTTCTTAAATATTCCTTTACTTTCAGAGAGCGAATAAATTCATACCTTTCATTTTATATAAGTATTAACAATGGCAGTAAGCATCTATGTCTATTGTTGGGCATAACCCACCAGTCTACTATCATACACGTACATGTATTTTGCAGATGCAAAAACTAAAGCTAAAAAAGCAGCTTAGCTAACTTCAATTTCAAATTCAAAACCTAACAGAAACAGACCCAAAGCCCACGCTCAAATTCTTAAATACTATCCTAACAAGCCCACAACTTCATTAGCTAATGAAACACTCTTGACGTAGTGTTTTCTTAAGTTACAAAATACCATACTTTTGTTTTCAACTCTATGTAGGGCTTTGAATTATATGTTAAGGGATTCACAGGAGGTGGATGGCGGTGGCATATGCCGAGAGGCAGAGGCTGGCAGATCTCTATGAGTTTGAGGCCAGCCTGGTGTGCAAAGTGAGTTCCAAGAGAAAGACTCAGAGGAAACTAGATAATAAACACACAAGAATAACCTGCGATGCGCATCTGATCAGTGACTGAAACCAGCTAACTACAACAGTTAATCTATAATCTCACACACATTTTTAATGAGGCCTGATAAATTGAAGTAAAATTTAACAGTAGTTTCATTTAAAATGTATTTCCAGGTTAATTTTGATTAGTTAAAACTATTCCACTAGGCATGGTGTATGATGGCTCACACCTGTAATCTCAGCATTTGGCAGGCTGAGGCAGGATTGCCATGAGTTTGAACCCATCCTGGGTTACACAGTAAGTTTCCGGTCAACCTGAGCATATGAGACCTCGTTTAAAAAAAACGGTGAGGGTGGGGGACAGTGAAATGGCTCAGCTGGTAGAAGGAGCCTGCTACCAACCCTCTAATCTCCACATGCATACGTATACAATAAAAATACAACTTTACCAACTTAAATAAGGAGCAATTTTAAATGTTAAATGTTTTTAAATGTTAAAAACCCACATTTCAGTAACTGAAAAAGACATACACTAAGCACGATTGTCCTTAAAAAAGATTGTACATCACAAAATCAATTTTGCTGTTTTCAAAAGTAATCGTTTTTGTTAAGTAGGTCCTTTTCTTATAATTAGAAGGATTCAAAACAGTAACAATTAGAATTTTTCATGTTTGCCTCGCCAATGAAAAATGTAATTTACACATTTTTCCATAATAAAAAGTATATCAGCCGGGCGGTGGTGGCACATGCCTTTAATGCCAGGACTCGGGAGGCAGAGGTAGGCGGATCTTTGTGAGTTCGAGGCCAGCCTGGTCTACAAGAGCTAGTTCTAGGACAGGCACCAAAGCTAGAGAAACTGTCTCGGAGGGGGGAGGGAGGGGGAGGGAGTATATCAAAGCTTACAATTGTGAGCCTTTCAAATGTAGAGAATGGCCTTTAAAGGAACAGTGCTCCACGATGTCCACACTAGGTGCACCGCCTAAAACAAACTATATTCACCATGCAAAAGACCACTTCCTAAACTGGGCGGTGGTGGTGTGCGCCTTTAATTCCAGCACTCTGGGAGGCAGAGGCAGGTGGATCTCTGTGAGTTCAAGGCCAGCCTGGTCTGCAAGAGTTAGTTCCAGGACAGGCTCCAAAGCTACACAGAAACCTTGTCTTGAAAACAAAAACAACAACAAAATAAAACAAAAGACCACAGTCAACTATGAAGATATGTCTTATTACCTTCCTCAACTTCCTGTTCCTCTTCATCCTCTTCTTCTTGCTGGCTGTCTGTGACTATTGGACAGATTTACATATTAAAGCTGTGATAACATTAAGTGGTAAAACAGAACAGAGAAGAAAGGAACAGAGCGATGGTTACCACAGATCTCAGGCTAGGTACCAATAGGAAGGGAGGGAGGGAGGGGGGGGGGGGGGGGGGGGGGGGGGGGGGGGGGGGGGGAGGGAGGGAGCTAGCAGAATTTAGTGTTTGTCCAGATGGCATTTCCTGAGTACATGCTTTGCTACAAATCACTATAATGGTGTCTTTGATTTTTGTCTTTTACTATTACTTCACAAACACATTTTCTCTTTTTTCTCTACCTCTGCCCCATTCCCCTCTCTCTGAAAAGATAATCACCCAAACCTTATTCTCAATGAAACAGATTCCCAAAAGAACTGTCCGTGACCCTGGCCAGAATTACTAAGTCCACTATACGCTAATGGCAGCTACTCTTACTCTACAGAGTAAGAGTAGCTGCCATTAAAAGCCAAATGCTAAACTTTGAATGAAAAAAAAAATGTGTTCTAGGAGTAAAATCTAAGTGTAACTAGGAAGTCAGCCATCGACTCACCTGGCTTCTCCCTGGTCTGTGGGATTATACCGCTTTTATCCTTGATAGGAAGCAAATGAATCAGCTCCTTCTCAGGTGCGGTCTGCAGAGTTCTTGGCACTTTTTCATATTTAGCTATCACACTCTCATGCTTTCGTTTCTTGATATGAACTGGCTCACTGCAGAAAAAAGTTCAATTTCATTCTTAAAGGGTATTCTTCTAGATAGGCCTCTGTTGCAGTAATAAACACCATTGTGGCGGCTTAGATGAATGCAAACAAATTGTGATAAGTATATACAACTTTAATGGAAAAATCAGACTCACAAAACCGAGGTTCCCGTGGAGTACAGCACAACTGAGGAGGAAAGGATCTGTTCCAGCTTACAACTGGAGTTCCTTATGAAGGGCAGGAACATAAGGTAGAAACTGAAGAAGCTATGGAGGAATACTGCTTATTGGCTTGTTCCTCCTGGCTTGCTCAGTTTTCCTTATACCAGGACCACATGCCAAGAGACAGCATTGCCAAAAATGGGCTGGGCCCTTCCAACTAACATAAAACAAGAAAATGCCCCCCAGGCTTGCCAGTAAGCCAGCGACTCTCAACCTGTGGGTCCAATCTCTTTGTCAAAACTCTGTCTCTAAAAATATTTACACTTCATAAGAATGGCAAAATTACATTTACGAAGCAGCAATGAAAACAATTTTATGATCGGGGGGTCACTAATAGGTTTTCTGTCCCCCAGTAATATGTTTCTCTGCTGCCTCACTAAGCCAGATCAAGCTGAATTTAAAAAGTATAACAACAGGCTTATTTGAGCAAAGCAAATCCCAGGTGGGTTCTCCAGTCCCAGAGATCAAGGCTGGAGAAGCCGCCCACAGAACTAAAGCAGGGAGATTATATAGGTTGTAGGTGAGGGTTGATGACATATCACCCACAAAATGGGTTTGTACCCAAATATGGTCAAAAGCTGAAAGCATCAGGCAGGGACTTGGGCAGTGGGCAACATCAAGAGAGGAAGCTGCAGTGGAGCCAAGAATGTGGAACTGGGCTCTTTGCTGCCTTTCCTTTGTTCAGAGACTCTGAGCTAGCTGGGTTTGGGGGACCTAGCAGGAGTGAGCTGGAGGTGCCAACCGAACAGCTACCACAACATGAGGAACTGTATTAAAAGGTTGCAGCACTGGAAAGGTTGAGAATCACTGCTATAAGCCAATCTGATGAAACATGGTCTCAAGCGAAGGTCGCTCTTCTCAGATTACTCTAGTTTGTGTCAGGTTGACAAAAAAACAAACAAAAAACTAACCAGCACATGTACCTGAAGGCTATCGTCAGAAAATCTACTGTAAACCAGACAAGATGATACGTGCCTATAATCCCTCTGGGGATTATGAAGGCTGAGGCAGGAGGACCATCAGTTATAGTCCATCTTGAGCTACGTACAGGGTCCTGGGTCTGATGCTCAGAACCACATTTGTAACGCACAGAGATGTGAACACTTATAATCCAGATGACATATTACCTAGAAGAAAGATCTCTTGTAAGAAAAGATGCTTTTTGCCCTAAATCTCTCATCAGCTGTAAGTCATCTTCATCCATCATATCTAAAGGAAGGGCTTCTTCCTCCTCCTCCTCTTCCCTCTCCATCCTTTTAACTGTTCCACCAAAAAAGAAAAAAGAAGTATTAAAGCCCTGCATTTTTTCTATCTCACCTCCCCTTCTTCCAGTTCTCCCCATGAAAGCACTACTGACATGCCGGTGACAATTCTTTTCCTCGTGGAGATGCTCTGAACCCAGCCAAGGGCTAGCAGCTTAGTATCTGATTCCTGAAATCTAGAAATCAGTGTTTGCCTGTATTCTGAACTGAGAACCAACGGCTGAGTTCATTAGCACCTTCTCATCTCCTGTGACCTTTGCTTCACTTCAGCGGCCCTCTCCAAAGGCCAGGTCCCAAGCCTTGGTGCTCATTCTTGGACCACAACCATCTGTACTTCGAATGTACTATTTTACTAACTATACATATAGACCTCTATTTCTTCAACCGTTGCTGTTCTGAACACTAGAGTGTTCTGCTTTTGTTCCCTGGCTTAGATTGCAGGGTTACACTTCCACCATTCTCCTGCTTACACACTTGGCAACTCTCCTTTCTGTATTAAAGTTACTCATCCTATTGTTATAATATAAAATATAATATAAAATCCCAACCTCACTCCTATTGTTATAATATAAAATATAATATAAAATCCCAACCTCACTCATCATTCTAACTTCCTTCTCTGCTCACTTTCTGTGTTCCCTTTATTCACCTTTTTATTCACGTGTGTCTATATGATATATATGTGTGTGCATATCTGTGTCTATATATCTCAAGTGCCAAAAACCCTTTTAGAAGTGCAGAAGATTCAACTTTGAACAAGACAACCGTAGTGTTTTCACTAACAAAACTTAACCTTCCTAACAGCAGCAAGACTGATAAATACTACTATGTAAGCAGGCACAGAATGAAACTCCTATCTACTTTAAAGGACACTGCATTTCTCAAACCAGAAATTGGTGTATATTGTTAGTCAGCTTCCTCTCCCATTGACTCTCTTATTTTCTGTCACTGCACTTCTAGCTCCTTCACCTGCCTCATTTCATCCAAGGACCTACTCTGCTATTTTAGTAAGAAAAGTGAGGCTACAAGGGAAAAAAAAAAATCCATCGATTTTCTTCATATCAGACTCAACAGTGTTTGCCTCCATCATTTTCTTATATTCATCCGTCTCTCATGATTTCACTTAGATGCTAAGCTGTAAAAATGAATTTTTTCCCCTTTACTTTATTAAGGGAACTATTAGCACGTTACACTTTTCTCTTCCTTCCTTTCTTTCTTTCTTTCTTTCTTGCTTTCTTCTCTCTCTCTCTCTCTCTCTCTCTCTCTCTCTCTCTCTCTCTCCCTCTCTCTCTCGGGTTTTCAAGAAAGGGTTTCTCTGTGTAGCCCTGGCTGACCTGGAACCCCCCTCTGTAGACCAAGCTGGCCTCAAACTCAGAAACCTGTCAGTCTCGGCCTCCTGAATGCTGGGATTATAGGCGTGCACCACCACCTGGCAGCACATTACACTTTTGAGGTTGTAAAACTTTAGAAGTTTTAGATACTTTCTCTAAAAGTATCTATAATCAATCAACTCATTGTTCCTAGACTGGAGGCTGAGTGACCAAACAAGATCACATGGTTACCAGCACAAATCAAAAGAAGAGCCCACATTTCCTGACTTCCAGGCAAATGATCATATATCCCTTACAATAATAATGCTACTACTGGGTCAAATATGTCAGGATTAAGAGATTAAGATGGTTATAGAAAAAAAATAGTTCTTTAAATCAGCTTCAGAACTGGCCTGATTCAAAATGGTCACATTCTTTTCTTATTCTGGGTATCTGAAGTTCTTGGATAGTTCTACAAAATAACCCAGACAATTAGAGCTGAATTTCAGCCCAAGTCTACAAGCTGAAAGAAAACCACCAGTTTAGAAAGGGAAATACCAGTTGGGCAGTGGTAGTGCATGCCTATAATCCCAGCACTCAGGAGACAGAGGCAGGCAGAACTCTGTGACTTCGAGATCAGCCTGGTCTACAGAGCAAGTTCCAGGTCAGCCAGGGCTACACAGAGAAATTCTGTCTGGGGAAATAAAAATAAAGAAAAGAAAAGGAAGTACCTATTGGCAACATGGTGAAGAACGCACGAATGCAAAGCAGTCTGACCTCGGCTCTCAGTGAATGGGAAGGTGACAGCGCCGACGTGTAGCCCAAAATTCATTTACACAGCTACTCGGGGTGTCTCCCAAGTACTACATTTTCAGATCTGCTGTCTAGACCAACTAAAAGCAGAAGCGAGCTTTCTCACAGTGCATACTATCTTGAAATGCTTTCTCATACTGACTGTGGTAAAGCATAAAGGAATTCTATCGTTACCTAGACCATGAACACAGGACGAATGTTACTAGAACACAAGTCACCTCCGCAGAGAACCCTTCAGCATAACCGGAGAGGACTAGGGTGAGTGAAGGCTCTCATTACCTGGCCATTTGCTCTTTGGGTCCTCCAAGGGGACTGGTTTCTTGGATACGGCATCTTTGACAGCTTGCCTTAGCTTCCTCTGCTCTTTTCGGTACTTCTTGATAGTGCTCTGCTGCTTAAATTGCTTATTCTTCAGTTTGTTTTCGAGTTTCACCTTACTAGTTTTTATCAGCTTGCGAAAGCTTGGGACCTGCTTTTTATTCCTCCTCTAGAAAACAACAGAAGGGGCACTGCAACTTAGAAACTTAAATTATTTCTTAAATCAGGTTAAGGAAAACAGCTTACAAATTAGACCAATTTCACAAATGTCTCACAACTGTGGATCCTGCATAAGAACTAAAACCAACATAAGGCAGTAGTAACTCATCCTACAGAATGGCACTAGAACATCGGTGACTCATGACAGAACTTTTCCATAGCCTGACTCTACCTGAAATGAAAAACGTTATGAATCTCTTATTTTGAGGTAAATGGTTATTCAAGAGTAGCTTATAACACTTGTACCATAACACAGAGCAAAATAATGCTATCTTTAACAATAACAACTGACATTTACTTGGTGTTTTATTAATCCCAAAGCACTCAGACTTCTCAATCGCCTACATAATGATCGTCACATAACAGAGGAAGTGAAGGTTACAGAAATCATGCAATTCAATGAAGATCCCTGATTTAAGGAGGGTTAAACTGAATTATGTGTTTGGATTCCAATTCTCTTGCTGGCAATTGTTTTATACTCCAAATCCCAAGACTCCTTCTAAATTTCCCTCTCCATCTCGGAAATCACCAGCCTTCCTATCTCCTTAAACTTTAAGTGGGAAACGGGTCCTCTCCGGGTCCGGTTCAAGAAGTCTGGACTTGCTTCTCACGTGTAGAAAAGGACCGAGAGACAGTCTGGAAAGACTCTTCAGTCTGACATCCTTCAGATGTAGGGCTCACAGCTGGCCTCACACCGGCTCCCTAAGGCCGTGCTTGGTCACCGTGAGCGAGGAAGCAAAAGCCAAGTAAGGACCCGAAGCAGATGGTGCAAAGAACCGCCAGAAGCCCCAACACAGGCCACCGCCCCCTATACCAGAGTGGAAAATCTCGGTAAAGACAAGCCAGGCGAGGACCCTGTCAACCCGGGAAACCGTAAGTCATGGAGGGCGGGGACCCGAGGGCACTTACCGCCTTCATCCTTGAGCCTGCAAGGAGTACCGCAGACAAGATCAACAGGAAGGGGGAGACGCAGGAGCCGGAGAAAGTAACACACGTGCCTAAAGCACAGCTTCACTCGAACAGGAAGCCGCTGCCAGCCCCACACCTTTCTGCCACCGGAAACGGAAGGCGGGACTTCCGTCTTCTGGCGGTGGCGCGCGCGCGCCCCCTAGGGTGCTCCGGTTTCTCGTCCCGGCGATCGGTGGCTAACCCGGGTGAGACGTGCTGAGGCGGGGTGCTGCTGGCATCGGTTGAGCGGATGGCCCAACTGAGGGGATAAGATAGGTTCCTGCCCGGGTTCCTTTGAAATTCTGGGGAAGACAGAAGGCGAAGCCTTGGCCCTTTCAGTCGCCTTCGTCTCGCGGCTCTGTCTGTTGCGGGTATTCCCCTTCCCGGTCTTCTAGAGGGCGGGATGCAGCTTCTTTTTTAGAAGCTGGCCCCTCCACAGGGCATGGGGTTTTGTTCCAAATGACGATTTCTCACCTCCACCTGCCAACCAAAAGTCCACGCTTCCTAGTTTAGACGTGGTGGCCACGCTTTTAATCTCAGCACTCTGGAGGCGGAGACAGGAAGATCTCTGTGAGTTTGAGGGATCTACACCACGTAGACCCTGCCAAGAAAAGCTCTGTACTTTTACTGTGGAATCGTTTTGCTTTGGGTTTCACCATTATATGAGAAAGTACTATATAGTAAATCTTTCAGAATTAGGTTTCTGTTAATCTTTTGATAAAGACAAAGTTGTCTATTTAGTAATTACAACCAAATCGTTAATTCTTACAAGAAGATATAGGCTTTGCAAGAATATGATTTTCAAGTACTTCTCTCCCAAAAACTGACCTGCATTAAAAAACAAAATCAAGCCCTGCGGGGGTGGCTCATGCCTCTAATCCCACACTAAAGGGGCAGAGGCAGATGGAGACAACCACGGATATTCAGAGAAACCCTGTCTCAAAAATCAAAACAAACAGAAAAACCCAAAAGCAAAAACAAAACACTGGGCTAGAGAAATGGTTCAATGATTAAGAGTGCTCGCTACTCGCCCAGGAGACCAGGGTTCTGTTTCCAACACCCACATCCGTCTTCACCGCCAGCTCCAGGGATTCTGATGACTCTTCTGGCCTTCTCAGGCACCCTCCCGAACCCATATGTAAAAATTAAAATAAAAATTTTTGAAAAGAAAAACACAAAACTGAACTTAAGGCTATTAAAGGTGAAAAAAGATGTTATTTGACAAACCCCCAACCCGAAATGCTTCCATTTCAGTCTCCCAAGGACTGATTACAGAGTAGAGTCACCATGCCCAGGCTTAAGCATATCATTCTTGATCACAACCCTGACACAGTTGGCCTCACAGCCCTGAGCTGGGGAGATAAGCCAGAAGAAGCCCAGAGGACACTGAGGTCATGAACAGTTCTTACAGAGCCCGAGAAGAAACGCCCTTTCTGCTTTCCCCTTCACGGACACTCTTTCCACCTCCTGTCTCACATTCTCCTTGTCCTCCTTCCACACCCTGTCTCGGAAACAGCAGAGCCTGTCCCACTGTTAGATGACTTCACCACACAAATTGAAAACATAAGCCTGTGCTCTCACCGAGCGCCCGAAATTCCTTCCTGAACAGAACCGTTAACTCCCACTGCTTCGGTTTGCCTAATTGTTCCAGGGATGAGGCATCCCCATTCCTATTCACAGCTACCTCCGTTTCTTTCTCTTCCATGGACTATCTTCCCCTCTGCCTTTCTATAATAGTTCCTTCCTTGTTAGTTTATTCACCTAGAGCTCTTCGCTCTGTATTTTTTTCTAAAGGTGGTTTCTCCTTTTAATTTAATTACTGTTTTGTCTTTCTTCCGTCTTGAAAAAAATTACCATCCTGCATCTCCACTTCCTCTTCTCTATTATAATAACCAACTCTGTGCCAGATTTTTAAATTTTATTTTAGACTATTTTATATGTATGAGTGTTTTGCCTATGTATGTAGTATGTGCCTGGTATAGAAGTGGGTTCAGTCCCTTAGAATTGGAGTTATGGATGGTTGTGAGCCACCAACTGGGTTCTGGGAATTGAACCCTGGCCTTCTGCAAAAGCAACAAGTACTCTAGACCGTTGAGTTATTTCTCCAGCACCCACGCCCTCGTGCTAGCTTTTTAAGGATCTGCATCTTATTCTTTGCCCATTTTATACTTAAGTTTATAATCAAGTAAAATCTTTGAGTCATTTTGAGACATGCTAGCTCTCTCCTATCTTGAAATCGAGCAGCTCTTTGTATGAAAGCAAATTTCAAAATGGAAGCTTTGGTGATTCTTACTAACTTAATATTAAGGAAGCTAAGATGAACTTAATGTAATTGGCTTCATTTGCTTGTTTGTAGCCCTGGCCAGCCTAGAGGAGGCTGGCCTAAAACTCCTGAGTGCTAAGATTAAAGGTCTGTCTGTGCCACCACCACCTGGCTCTAATCAGCCTCTTGATCCTGTCCACTCCAACTCATCACCCATTCAGCTAACCCATGTTAAGTCTACTTTGTGCTTGACGTCTTCTTGGCTCCCTCTCAGCTTTTCTGGATACAGGCTGATAGGGATCACTGGACTATGTTAACAGGGTGGCAGGAGCTGTTCCTAGATTCCTGTGAGTCCTTTGGGAAGGCACGTACACCCATCTGGATGCTCCTGTGACATTCCCCTGGAGCTGATCATATTAAGAAGCTCCAAATTCTGGTTTTTCTCCTAAATATTCACAGTGTTGCAGTGTTTCTCTCTTTAGCCTCACTGGGTCTCTTGGCTACATTTGCTGCTTTCTCTCCTGTCTTCTCTTTCTCCCCTCCCCCAACACCCCCTTCTCTACATTAGAATATGGGCTCCCTTGGCTCTCCCAGCTGCCTCTTCCCCAGGTCTTCTATTCCTTCCCTCTCAAGCCTCTTCAGTGAAGATGTTCACTGATATGAATAGTGCAATGCAACCAAGCAACACTATTCATAATAGCCAAGTTACAGAATCAGCCCAGCTAATCATCACCATATGAATAAAGAAAAGGTAGCTGAGCCTGGCAATGGTGGCACATGTCTTTAATCCCAGCATTAGGGAGGCAGAAGCAGGAGGATCTCTGTGAGTTCAAGGCTAGCCTGGTCTACAAAGTGAGTTCCAGAACAGCCAGGACTACATGGAGAAACCCTATCTCAAAAAGGGAGGGAGGGAAGAAGGGAGGGAGGGAGGAAGGGAGGAAGAAATGTAGCTGAGTCTAGTGACACAGATCTATAATCCCAGCTACTCAAGAATATCAGGCAGGATTGTCACAAGTTCAAGGTCAGTCTTGAAGAGACTTAAAGAGACTCTTCTCTAAAGAAAATTTTAAGATTTACTTCTTCACTTATGTATAAGTGTATAAATGCCTCATGTCTGTGGGTGCTCATGGAGGCCAGAAGAGGATGACAGATTTCCTGGAGTTGGAGTAGAACCATCAGACTTAAGTGAATTTTATTCTTGTTGAAGAGCAACAAGCACTCTTAACCCCTAAACCATCCTCCGGGCCCATGTCTCAGAAACTTTTAAAGTAAAAAGGGCACTGGTTTTATATATATATAAACCCTGTCTCAGAAAAAAAATACATTTTCCTTAAGGAATTAAATTATGTCATTTTAAATAAAATGATTAGAACTGGAGATCATCATATTAAAATAACGTGTGCTCAAAAAATACTACCTTTCTCACATATTTGGAATCTAGTTTTGTTTTTATTTTGTTTTGTTTTGTTTGTTGTTTTGTTTTCTTTCTTTTTTTTCTGGCTTTTGAGACAGGGTTTCTCTGTGTAGCACTGGCTGTCCTAGAACTCACTTTATAGACCAGACTGGCCTCGAATTCACAGACATCCACCAGCCTCTGCCTCCCAAGTACTGGGATTAAAGGTGTGTGCCAATACTACCTGGCTGGAATCTAGATTTTTTAAGGCATTAAAGTAGACTTAAGATTAATTGGGAGGGAGGAGGAGTAAGTGGAAAGGATGAAAAGATGAAAGGAGTATGATTGAAGTGTGCTGTATTCATTTATGAAATACCATGATGAAATTGATTATTTTATGTAAATCATATACCTAAATAAAAAGAAAAGAAGATAGAAATTCCAGCAGCCACCAAGGGTATTAGAAACAAGAAACTAAATCTCCCTCAGTGATGCTAGTTGCAGACTTCTGGCCTCTGAAACTATGAGAGAATGAATTTTATTGCTCTAAGTTACCAAGTTTGAAGTAATTTGTTATAGCAGCCAAGGAGACTAATACACTAGTATTTATGTGTCCTTGGAGATAGGACAGCACTTCCCCATGTACAGTTCACAAAATGATTAAGCACTGTCTACAAAGACAGCCTGCTCACGATCACACTATCAGGGTCCTTCTCTTTCTTGTCTCACTTCTGTACCCTATAATCAGTGGCTCCTGGACTTTATTTTCAAAAATAAATAAATGATCTACACTCAGATACTTATGCATTAGTTCCTTATGTCTACTATAACAAAATACCATACTAGATAACATCTCAGAAATGTATTCTCTCAAGGTTACCAAAGCTACAAGTCTAACATCAAGGCATTGGCATAGTTGGTTCCATGTGAAGAACCTCTGCTCGTTACTAGTGACAGGTGGTAATCCTTGACAGCCTTTGGCTTGAAGACACTCCAGTCTTTGCCTCCATCTTCGTTTAGTATTCTCCTCTGTCCCTGTGTCTTCACATGGCTGTCTTCTCTGATGACACTAGGTTAAGGGACAACCTAATGACCTCACATTAAATTGATTATATCTGCAAAAGCCCTGTTTCTAAGAAAGGTTGCATTCCTACGTACAGCCACTTAGAATTGTTAACATATATCATCGGGCTCCCCTTATCCATAGAGGCTGTGTTCCAAAACCAGAAGCCAAAGATATTATTGAGCCCTAAGTACTATGTTTTCCCTATGAGCACATAAAGGTTATCAGTTGGGCACACAAGGAAAATAACACAATAACTAATAATATATTAGAAAAGGTATAACAATATACGGTTGTCAAAGTTATATGAGTGCCATCTCTGAAGTGAGAGGGCAAAGTGCAGATAACAGTTAACCACTGTGTCTTCTCTGTGAGAGGAAGTACATGTCATGCTATAACTAAAAAC